TTTAAAGTTAGTTATTCATACATGTCATTTTTCACCCTGTCCTCCGTTACATGCAGCTGCATTGAGAGTTCTAGTATGCAGCTACTATATACAAGTTCAACACTTATATATCAACCACACGTCCTTTATCTGCTGACTTTATCACAGAATAAATGAGGGAAATGGCCTCATCTGGCGCAGCTGCTTATCAGCCAACTGTCCAGTTACATTGAGGCTCTAAGCCTCTGGGGAACTATGTATAAAAATTCCTGTATTACCAAAATAGTTAGCATGGTATCTTTGTGAAACCCCTTGAATTAAGGCACTAAAGTCTGCCATGTTGATTGTTTGATATAAAAACCACTGTGGTGGTGTACAGAGTGTGTTATTGTCCTAATACTGATATACTGCATTGTTTGAGCTGGCATGTAGGAGATAATGTCACCATGTTAGAGACACATTACCAGAGCCTGTGAACAATTGACTTATGTGAGTGCTTAATGTTAGACTCGGTGATACATGAAGGATCTACTGTGAACCCAGAATAGGTGGTTAATTGTTAATCTTTGTTTCAGAGGGTGTAAATTGTAAATGATTATCCTAAGCTGGAAGAGAGAGGCTCAACAATAAAAACAGGTTATCAGGTGATCTATCTGTGTAATGGTTATTATGTTGATCCCATCAGGACTCTAAGATCCTTGTCTGTTTAGCGAATTGCTTCTATTTTAACGCAGCAGGAAAAGTACTGGGCACTGAGGATGAAAGGACCTATTTTGAGCCAATCCGTGTCCTTGAAACGGTCAGATTATGATGTCGTTAGGTCAGTGTTTTAACAAAAACTTTAAAGATTTTCTGTTTGCAAATTCCCGAGACGAAACTGATGGTAATCTGTTTAAACATAAAACATTTTTTTTTGCATCAAGTCATGTTTTGTTTCTGCTGGCTGACTGCTGGTTGGTGACAACAGGGGAGATTAGATGTTTAGATAGTGAATGAGTCTCATGACTTGGCATGTGCTTGTCTATTGTGTCACTTGAATAGAGGGTGGCCTTGCCACAGGGGTGGTGGGGGTTACATGGACATGGAGAAACTTGGAAAAAAATGAATTAAAGGGCAAACGTATGACAGATTTC